CAAATTTAACCAAATCATTTTTTAAATATTATTTAATATTTTATAATTATTTTTATCAATTGACATTTATACCCTTTTATTACTATCATTAAATTTAAAATATATTTATGACCTAATTATTGTCTTCATCTCAAACAAATATTATACCAAGGACCTACGTTAATCTCCCATAGGTATGAATCTCGAATAGAGTTGTAAATTTGGGCACATACACTTTACTATCTCCTTCCAACATCTTTAATACATCCATAATGGTGGCCTTAAAACCAACATCAGATGAGCACACAAAATCTCTACAAGCATAAATCTTTCCATCGTCCTTTCAGCCTGTAGGGTTCATAGTCTCCGAAATTGTACCATCTCTTAACAATGAATGATCCAAAACCTGCCCAACTTTCCTTGTTTTTAAGTAACCATGCCTAATTAGTAGTAAAAAAACCACATACTAGATTTAAGCAAGACAAATCGACAACTTTTCTCCCAAATATAATCTTCAAAAACACAACCATAGGTTCTGTCAGTCGGTCGTATAGAGCATATTTTAGCATAAAATAGCCATTGGTACCAACGACTCTGGGTTCAGATAAGATTTTTCCCTTTAATATGTTGCCTGGCTTACCTGGAATCTGCTACTCGAGCTCTCATTTTTTTCAATCCAGAAGTATAATTGTAGATTTGATGTCTCAATGATAAATTACAATTTTTACTCCATAATTAAGATACATTAACACTTTTGCTACATCCAGGATTATGTTATTTCTTTGTGGCCAGGTTAATTTAGGTTTTCGACTCGTAAATGGGAACAAATGTTCGTCAAAAATTTCGTTTGACATGTATTCTTAAAGAAGGAATAATTGATTACCATATAAGCTAAACAAGATTTCAACTACTTAATTTGCTAATGATTTCAACTTCATTACCAAAGTCATTATTGCATTCAAACTCTGATCGATTATCCTTTTGACATAGACAACAGACCCATTGGAGAGAACACCTATAAACAATTCCAAATTCACCTCTACTTATGAAAATGTTTGGTAGGAAGTCATCAGTTGCCTTTTTATTTTCAACGCCATGAAAGCTTAAACCAAATATAGCCGGTGTTTACTCTTCTTCGTGGTTGAGTCGATTTGAATTATAGATCATTTCCCTTTTGCTCTCTCTCTTCTAGATATTCTGATACAAAGAAACCAAAATGGACTATAAAGGGTATTATAGTCAATATATATATATTTTTATAATTATAATGATTTTAAAGGATAACAAATTGATTAAAAAATATTAAAACATATATTTTGGGTAAATATGATATTTTAAAAGTTTATGAAGGGTAAATATGATATTTAGAATTTAAGCCAGACAAATACAATATTTTAAGGTTTAATAGGGGTATATATGAAATTCTCTCTAAATTTTTTTATTTTGCCCATGGCAATAAAAACTAATGGACCAGCCCTGTTATATAATAATATGATATTTTGAAGTAAAAGATTGTTATCTATTATATAATAACTAGGCGAATGCCCGCGCGTTGCGCATAAACACCTATATAGTTGAAATCCTTACAAATATATTTTTTTTAAATATAACAATAACATTGTTGTTAAATTTGATATAATAATTCGTATACTAAATTGATAATATATTGATTATTTTGAATTTTATGATAATATATACATCTATTATAATTGCATAATCTCAACCGTTTGAATGACTTCTACCCGCGAGTTACTCATGAATATAATTAAATATTATATATGATTTAATGTTATTTATAGTTGTTGTTATTGTTAATTAATTTTTTTAAAATTTATTTGTTTAACATTTTAATGTCTATCATTGTAATTATGTAAAACATCAAACATTGTTTTTTGATTTTAAAGGTACCAATATAATCATTTATATAGAGTTATATTTAACTATTGTTATTGTAAGTTATTTTAGGCTACGTATTTGAAAACTTTTAACGATTATACAAAAATTTTTAAGAAATATTTTAGTTAAATTGAGATTATAATTCAGTTTTTGCATTTAGCACTACAATTTATCACTTTTAATTATTCACAAAATATTCATTGATTTTTTAAAGTGGAACTGAAATTTTATTTAAGTTGACATTGTAATGTTATATTTAAATTCACAATTTAAGTATTTTGTCAAATCTGTTCAACAGATGTATTTTTAAATTGATAATGGTTTACATACAACAACATCTTAATCTAATAAATTAAGTATAATCTATAAAAAAATTAAAGACATAACTTTATAAATAAAGTAAAGATGTTATTTTAATATTTAAATTTAGTTTATTTATGATTACACTTTGGGTTTGATATTTATTTAACCTTATTAATCAATTTATAATCATTATTAGAAAGACACTACAATTTATCACTTTTAACTATTTACAAAATATTATTTGGGTTATTTAAGTTAAACTAAATTTTGTATTTAAGTTGATCTTGTAATGTTATATTTAAATTTATAATTTAAGCATTTTATACAAATTGTTCAAAAGTTGTAGCTTTAAAATGATAATGGTTTACACCGAACAGTATATTAAAACTAATAAATTAAGTATAATGTAACGCCCCGATTCTCAGGTATTGATTTAAATAAGAATTCTTTTGTTTCCAAGGTCTACTCGACGAGTTGGTTGCCCTACTCGTCGAGTAGCATCGGGTTGGTCCACGTATTTTAGTGGCCTACTCGCCGAGTCCAAGAAGGGACTCGACGAGTAGGAGCTGATAGATGAAACCCTAAATCTTGGGGTTTTGCACCCTATTTAAAGAAACATAAGCCTCATTTGGCCTCTCTACTGTCCATTGAGAGTCCAGAAAGGCCCTAACTCGAGTGTGTGTGTATTCTTTGGAGGTTTAAGCTTGGAAGGAAGTTTTTGGTGAAGAAATCACTTGGGAAACAAGCCGGTTGAAGCAAGAATTTGTGGATTTCAAGTTTTGCATCAGAAAAGGCTCTCTTGAAGGTATTAGATCGTTTTTCGCTTGGCTCATTTTCTCCTAAACCCTTTGGTGCATAAGTTTAGGAAATGGATTTGTGTTTAAGCCAAGATATGAAGTTGTAACTTCAGATCTGGACTCCCCTAGCTTCTAGATTCATAAAGCCACCAGCCTTGTCTAGGATGAGCCTTCTCCCAAGGGTGTGACTTCATTGCAAGCTTAGTTGTGCCATTTTAGGGTCTTAAAGCCTTGCATGCACGTAAAGTTTGCAACTTTACATGATAAGCATGCCTAAGGAAGTTGGATCTGCAATTTGGAGCCTTGGCATGGCTTAAAAAGTGTATGCATGGTTAAAGGCTGGAGGGACTCGGCGAGTCATATGAAGATAGGCATTGAACTCGACAAGTTGGATGAACAACTCGGCGAGTCCAATGAAGATTGCCATTGACTCGACGAGTTAGATGAACAACTCGGCGAGTCGGTTAATGTTTACCCAAATTGATGAATACGTGTGAACCTATCGAGTTACAGAAGGAAAACTCGACGAGTGGCCTTGGGGTTTTGACCGCGAACCTTAGGAACTCGACGAGTCACTCCGGGGACTCGGTGAGTGGACGAGTATCTCGAGGAACTCGACGAGTAAGGGTCAACATGGATTATTGACCTTGACTGTTGACTTTGACCTTGACCAGGGGTTGACTAGTTGACTTATGGGGTACCTTGAAAGGTTGAGAACATACGAGTATGGATCTAGTATGATAATAGGTGGTGGAGTTTGCGGTCGTGATCTGAGAGTTGGAGTTTAGTTACCGCGCCGACATTTGCAAGGTGAGTTATCCTCACTATACTAAGGGGTCTAAGGCACCAAGGCCGACCCATTGAATATGTTATCCTAGCAGTGTTAGTATGTTGAGTATGAAGTTAATGTTGCATGATCAGTGGTTATGCCAGTTAGGTAGATCGGTAGGACTACCTGTATTGATCTATGATTATTTGCATGCTCAGTGGTTATGCCAGTTAGGTAGATCTGTAGGACTACCTGTGTTATATGAATATCTGCATGCTCAATGGTTATGTTATATGTTGATATGTTATGTGGGATAGGTTGAGGTGAGACTACTTCGTGCGGTAATCCAGCAAACCCATGAGCATTCCAGTTACAAGCTAAGGGAGACTCGTACTGTGGGCTAGACGGTAAGCCAGATGTGAGCTGTGGGCCAGCAAGGCAATCCAGACTCACACTGTAGGCCCAAGGGGTAATCCAGTCTGTAAGCTGTGGACTCATTGCATTATGTTTAGTTTGTTATGTTATGATGTTGCAGACATGGTTATGTGGACTGTATGTGTATCAGTATTTTGGGGAAACTCACTAAGCTTTCGGGCTTACAGTTTCAGTTTATTGTTTCAGGTACTTCAGGGGATCACGACAAGGCTAAGGCGTGATCGTACAACTCCTCACATTTTTATGAATTTATTTCTGGGATACTCTGATATGATACATTTTGAAAAAGTTTGTAATGTTTAATGGATTTGAAATGTTTTAAAAGTTTAAATTGGCTTGAATTTTTATGGGTATTACATATACTATGTTAAAAGTTAAAAAACATAACTTTATAAGTAGAAGTAAATATATTTTTTAATATTGAAATTTAGTTTGTATATGATTACACTTTATGTATGATATTTATTTAATCTTATTAACCAACTTATAGAAGAAATTAAAAAGTCATAAGGGTTTCAAATGAATGTAGTGAAAAGAAAAATAAATAAGAGTTTCAAATGAATGTAGTGAAAGGAAAAATGAATGAGCGTTTCAAATAAATGTAGTGAAAGAAAAAATAAATGAGAGTTTCAAATGAATGTAATGAAAGAAAAAATGTTAGCTTCAAGATATATCTTGATAAATATATAATCATACGATATATTAAAGTAAAAGATTTTTACATTCCATATACATATACATGTCTTGGTATTTTTGTGATGCCGTATTTATTATCAATCAATATTCTGAAATAAAATAATTAAATATTATTAAAATCAGAGATGACACCAAATCTGAAACGTTTATGGCGTATGAAAAATGCAAACAAGAAACGGGAAGGAAGCAGTGGGAGTGGAGAGCGATTTACGGTTAGTTTAAACTTTAAAGCACAATTGATCTGCTTTCTCCCTACAAACACTCCCCTCTCTTGTGTTTCTTGCTCAAATTCGTTTTTCATCCCGCAAAATCATGTGTGCTACAAATGGATGTAATCCTAATTTGGATAGATTTATGGATTAGATAGATCGTTTTCAAGTTATATATATTTACAGATCGCCAATTTTGGAATCCCCTTTTTGTTCAATAAATACAATCAGTTTCGATTGATTGAATCACAAAATTGCATGCCCATTTGAATAAATTCGATTAGAAAGGTTGTAGTTTTTGGATTATGATGTCTGGGATGTGGAGATGGAGGAAGATTCGAGATATTATAGCTGCAACAGAAGCAGGAATGAGAATTTCCACCCCGTATGCATCGAGGCGTGGTTTCGTTAATTGGCTGCTACATGCCGGCGCCGGCGGTCCGTACATTCGTCCGAGGTCGTTGACTGGTCTACAAACAAGGTATAAATGGGATCATGGCGGTGGTGGTTCTGATGATAACGGCAGTAGAACCACGACGATGACGCGGAGGATTAAAGCCGAAGCTAACTGCCCTCGTTGTTCTAAGCAAATGAATCTGGTTTTTTCCAATAACACCCACCTAATTCCGCCGTCTTCATCCGCCGGAAATGAATCAGAATCACCGCCTGATCCTGGTTCCGATTCCAATCGCAAAGGCGCTTACCAGGCTGTCAACCTTTGTCCCAACTGTAAAACCGCCTACTATTTCCGGCCGTACAAGATGGCTCCTTTACAAGGCCGTTTTGTCGAAATTGGTAGGGTTAAAAACAGTAATGGGAATGGAAGGGATAAGCGACAGGCTAATGATGATGATGAATATGCTAACAAACTTCGGGCTTCGTTTTGGGAGACATTGAAGGCTTATGGTGGTGAACCACCGGAGAATTGGACCAATCCTCCTCCTCCTCCTCCTCTCTCTGGCAATGGACTTGCGGTGCATACTCCCCCTGGACCTCCGTTTGCACCAGGGTTGAATGTAATACGTGCAAGGGGTCCTGCCGGTGGTGGTGGTGGTGGAGAGAAGTATGGGTCTGGTGGCTCAAATTTGGGGAAGAATTTGCCTACTCCTAAGGAGATTTGTGAGGGACTGGATAAGTTTGTCATCGGTCAAAAGCGTGCCAAAAAGGTTTCAACTTTTTCCCCTTTCTGATATGCATTCAACTATTCAAGCATGCTTAGAATCTCTAACCCTAGAGACAATTGTGACTTTATATAAATTCAGTGGCTATGTTGTGTTTGCTACAGGATCTTTTCCCTTGAACTGGTTTCCCATTTTATTTGCAGGTCCTTTCAGTAGCTGTTTATAACCATTACAAAAGGATATATCATGCCTCCTTACAGAAAGGGTTAGTTGTTAAACAGATGAATTCTTTTCATCTTAAGTATCATTCACAGGCTGATTGCTGAACTGAAGTTGTTAATTCAAACTAGGTCAGGAGCAGATCCAGGAAGATCTAAGACCGAAGATGATGACGACAATGTAGATTTAGAAAAAAGCAATGTACTTCTAATGGGCCCAACTGGCTCAGGTCTGTATGATCATTAGGATGTTTTCTTCTTTTTTCTTTTTCTAACATTTCTTCATTTGTCTCTTCTACTATAAATCTTATAGTTTATTGTTTATGTTTCTATGATTTGTGAAATAGGGAAGACATTACTTGCAAAGACTCTAGCTCGTTTTGTTAATGTTCCATTTGTCATTGCTGATGCAACCACCTTGACACAGGTCAGCCAGTTGCTGATATATTCACTATATTGCTTTTATGGAAATGGACTGAAAAGTGAAAACCCAATGTGTAGATTTCTGTTTCCATTATTGTATATAGAGTTAAATGTATATTTATGCTTTTCCCCAAATTATGCAACAAAGTGGGTTTTATACAACACCATTTCATTTTAAGACCAAATGATGCAATAAATGGTAACCTGTTTAACCTTTCCAAGTGTTGTTCAATTAATATGTGTTGATTGCATAAATTGGTTAAAAAACTGAAGCATTGTGGCATAAATTTATAACAAAGTGTAACAATGTTACTTAAATTGGTAAAAAGGCGAAACATTGTTGCTTACATTGGTACAAAGGTCAAACACTGGTGCATAAATTGGTAAAAAAGTGAAACATTGTTGCATATGTTAGTAAAAAGAGTGAGACATTGTTGCACAAATAAACATTTATGGAATGAATCGCTTTGGTCCATGAAGAAACTTGATTGTGTATTTCCTCTAAAAAAACCACTTGTTGCATAAATTAGGAAAAAAAAGTGTTTTGCATAAACGTTCTTTTAACCCTTATATGTAATTTACATTGTTCAGCCGAAAGTGGTTCATGTGTTTTTTACATTATGGCTTATGCAGGCTGGTTATGTTGGTGATGACGTGGAATCTATATTGCACAAGCTACTTACGGTACTGCAGTTTATATATATATATATATATATATATATATATATATATATATTGATTGTATAACCGCTTCTTCTTCTTCTTCTTCTTCTTCTTCTTCTTATTATTATTATTATTATTTCTATCTCATTGACCAAGAGTTTAACAACCTAATTAAATTTCTCTTTCTGTGTCTAACTTTTATCATTTCCATTATGTGTTTTTCCTTTTTTGGCCCAAACTTGTTTCATATCTTGTTTGGTTTTTATCATTCTTCTATAGTGTTTGGCAATGTAAATGCTATGCATCAGGTTATAGAGAAAAGGGTATTGTGGGTAAACTAAACAAATAATGAGCATCTTTTAGTTTTAGTGCAGGGGCATTGTGGGCATTTATGTTAATGTAGTGGTTATATAGGATTAGAGAGAATGAGTGGAAGGCATGTTTTGTGTGAAGTTATTCCTTTGGGAGAGGCTAGCAAGCAAAGCATTAGAGTGGTTGTTCATTTTGAGTGATTAGATTAATCAATATAGCGAAGCTTTTGTTCTTATTTTCTGATTCATATTGTTAGTTGATGATAGCAAATGAGAGATGAAAAGTTAAATAATATTTTTGTGATTTTCGATCCACAGAGAACACGAGTTGAAATTGATATATAATGTTTCCATTTGGTTTCAAGGTTGCCGAATTCAATGTTGAAGCTGCACAACAAGGGATGGTTTACATTGATGAAGTTGATAAGATAACCAAAAAGGTTTTAACCCAATTACTTTTTTGTGATCCTGAGTTTTGAGATGTGAAAGAGTTTTGATTTTGCTATAAATATAATTTGACAGGCTGAGAGCTTAAACATTAGCAGAGATGTCTCTGGTGAGGGAGTCCAACAAGCTCTACTTAAGATGCTGGAAGGAACCGTAAGCCATTAATTATTATATTCGTGATAAATTCCCAAAATCAATCAATTGTTGACAGCTTCATTTTGTTTTGGTGGTTATATGATAAATTTGTCAAAAAGTTAGGACTTAAACACATATCACTGAACTCACTGCATTCTTCAATGATTAGGTTCCATTTGAAAAGGTTAACATCTGGTGTGGTCTTTCTGCAGATAGTGAACGTGCCTGAAAAGGGGGCGAGGAAGCATCCTAGAGGTGATAACATTCAGGTACAGTAAAGGCACATGATTCTTATGATGTACTTGATTTCCTATTATAGCCCTCCATGTGAATTCAAAAGATTCTCTTGTGCTTAAGCTGTGTTATCATGGGTGGAACCTGTGAATTGAAAAGATTCTCATGTGCTTAAGCTTGTTAATAAATTGATAATATAATAAGAGACTATTACTTTATCTAATGAGTAAAAGTTACTAGCAGATAGATACAAAGGACATCCTTTTCATTTGTGGTGGCGCATTTGTTGATTTGGAGAAAACCATATCCGAGAGGTGAATCCAAATCCGTACGTTTGTTTTTTGTTTTTCTGGGCTAAGTGCAAGAAATAGCAACATATCCTATATTCATTTATTAATTTACTACTCTATTTTCAATCAAGACCCACTTTAAAACAAACAAACATTCACCCAATTACAACATTAAAAATTGCTTTCTATTCGGATGACATGTGATATAACTCACAAATTTTCCAAAATATAATGTTGAAGGTAGGAATGTAGGATGTTATAACAAACTAATCGATCAAAGTGCGTTGCTATTTCTTGCAGTTGTGACTGGAAATGCTTTCACTACTATATAACAACTATAAGTTGATGGGTTTAAACGTAAAATCATTTTTTTTTATAAAAAATTTCAGACGGCAGGACTCTTCAATAGGTTTTGGAGCACCTGTTCGTGCGAACATGAGAAACAGTGCACTCACAAATGCTGCAGTCACATCATCTTTACTTGAATCTGTAAGCAGCAAATGTCTTTTTTAATTTTTTTCTAATAATGAGGAATTATATATTGGTTTTATCCTTTTTGTTTTCAGGTTGAAAGTAGTGATCTTATAGCCTATGGACTCATACCCGAGTTCATAGGACGATTTCCGATTTTAGTAAGTTTGTCAGCTCTAACCGAAGATCAACTTGTTCAGGTATGCTTTATCACTCAAAATCAAAATTCTCTTTTTAGGATTTTATTCTTTTCACAACCCAAAGACTTAATTATTATTGTTTTGATGATTTACTTGTATGACAGGTCCTTATGGAACCTAAGAATGCTCTCGGGAAGCAATACAAGAAATTGTTTCAGATGAACGATGTAAGCACTTCATTCAGTTGAAAAAAGAAAGTGAAAAGAAAAGGAAAATACATTTCACCTTAGTTTAGTTTGACTTGTCTGTTTGTTGGTAATTAATTATGTTTGGTGAACTGTAGGTTAAACTACATTTCACAGAAAAGGCACAAAGATTAATTGCCCAAAAGGCAATGGCCAAGAACACGGGTGCAAGAGGGTTAAGAGCCATACTCGAAACTCTTCTAACCGACTCTATGTACGAGGTATGCAGTGCAGGGAAGGGCTTTTTCGTCATTTACACACCTTTCACCATAAACATCAATAAAAAATCTTCCTCTTTTTTTAACAAAATCAGATTCCCGATACCAAGACCGGAAACGATCGAGTGGATGCGGTTGTGATTGATGAGGAATCAGTTGGGTCAGTAGATTCTTGTTTATCAGGATGTGGGGGAAAAATACTCCGTGGTGATGGTGCGTTGGAAAATTATCTTGCAAAAACAAGTTCTAAAGAACAAATGGTATGGAATTTCACACATCTTTTTACTTTAAATGGAGTCTTATCTTATCTGAAATGAACTTTTGTGGTGAATGCAGCAGGAAGCTGATGGGCAATTGGTGGAAGGAGAAGAAGAAACCTCATCAAAAGCCATGAGCATGTAACAGTTTAACAAGAATTAGACCTTTTTCTCATTTGTTGGGTTTCATTTGTAAAACCCCGAACAAGAACCGGTGTGGTGTAATTATACCTCCGTCTCCTTGTACAACAGAATAATAACATCCGATTCGGTTTTAAGTTGATAGAGAGATAAAAAGAAATGAGGTGGTAAAAAAAGAGAAAAACAAAGGAAAAAACATATGTAAAATTCTTGCTTTTATTGTACATTGTACAAATAAGCTTTGGAAATGATGAGGTGTTGGTCCATTTTTAGTGTTTTTACATATTTTCCAATTTATACCTTATTTGTCATATTCTATTCCCAAGATTGGGACCTGTAATTGGGTTGAGACTAAGACTCAAGTCAATGACATTGCCTTTTTTTGTCCGATCTTTATGTAAAAGAAGTAAATGTCGTCATGATTCATCGCTGAAACTACACTAAAAAACTCGTCCAGTCTTACTCCATTCCAGTCTAGTTGTGACAAGCACTAGCTACCTTTTTTTTTTTTTTTTTTTTTTTTTTGCAAGTTTTAAATTAGATTTGTTCTTGCAAATTTGTTTAGACAAATATCAATATCAATCATGATTACATCCATTCCACACTCACAAAAAGCACATCCGTTTTGGATGGGATATGGGCTGAAAATAATAATAACCTTGTTCTGTTCTGATTGCAGAACAAGATATTGTTATTTACCTTTGGAATCGTCAAAACAAAAACAAGGTCCAAACACGTGGCCTTTTGAAATCAATAACCTAAAGAAACGATTGGTTTAAACCAAGAAAAAGCAATCTAAAAAAAACTAAGAAACCATTCAAAACAAAATAATGACACGTAGGGTTTTTTTATTCTCTATTTGGAAGCCGACATGAGAGTTTGGGCATCGGATACGGAAGGTAGTGCAGGGATGGCTCCTTTCTTTGTTGTGCATATCGCCCCACAAGCATTCGAAAATGCTAGTGCCTGCTTCAGCTTCGCTTCATCCTACATTTATTTAAAAAATAAAACAACCAGTGTTTGGATTTTAGGCTACTACGTGTTTCCTTTACAGAATACTTTAATTTTGGAATAATATGTTGCATACCAATTCCATCAAAACCTGTAACACAAAATGGATTTCTTCTTACCGTGAAAATGGAAGTGTCTTTGGCCATGGAAACAAGCAACGAGCCTACAAAAGAGTCTCCTGCTCCTGTTGTGTCGACTGTTTTCACCGAGTACCCCGGCACTTTTCCCTTGAAGCTCTACAAAATAACATTTGTGAATTGTGAGTAAATTAATGTCACATATATTAAAAGCAAATGAAAAAAATAAAAAAATACCTTGGTGTAATATCGACAACCCTTTTCGCCATCGGTAACAACCATAAGCTTAAGACCATCATGCCATAAACTCTTCACGGCTTCTTCATCATTAGATTTCTTTTGTGTCAAGAATTCCACCTCGTCATCACTCACCTACACATAAATAAAAAGAGCAAATTTTGTCTTTTCACACCCAAAAACCACAACAAATAAAATTCATATTGTAAAATTGTCATTCCCAAAGGAATTGAAATACTTATCATTAGTGTCAATAATAAACGACCTTGATGAAATCAGCTTCGTTCCAGATGCTTTTGATGCCTTGCCTAGCTGCCTCAGCAGAAGGCCACAAAGGAAGGCGGACATTGGGGTCATATGAAAGCAAGACCCCAGCCTGCTTGGCGGCCTTCATGGCTGCCATGTGGGCAGATCTGCATGGCTCTGTGATGAGACTGATGGAGCCATAATGAAAGATCTTGGCTTGCTTGATTATGTCCATTTTAAGCTCCGATTCTTTTAGGAGCATGTCAGCACTAGGATTCCTATAGAACATGAATTCCCTCTCACCATCTTTCTTAAGTGTCACGAATGCTAAAGCTGTCCTTGCATGCTCGTCAAACAACACACCATCAGCATTCACTCCGTTTTTCTTTATAATGTCAGCCAACATGAATCCAAATTCATCTTTCCCAACCTGCACTTTACATCAATTAATCACATACATGTATTCATATTATTTTATATATAGTGAAGTTTCTACATACCCATATTGATTAAAAATTCAGAATGTTACGCCACAAAACCATTGATCCATTAATGTCCAATTTGCAAAATTTAATCCGTAAAATTAACCATTGATCCATAAATGTCCGTTAATTTATAAATCATCCAAGAACAGCATTAAACTCATATAGATGAACGATGGATAACAACTTTTACAGAAATAAAAATAAAACAATAATCACTACGTAAAACCATTGATCCTTAGCTGTGCATTAGATTATAAGTCATCCAAGAACAACTTTGATTCATATAGACGTTAGTGTAGTAGTAGATCTGTCGCTTTATTTATTTATTTATTTATTTATATTTATTATAAATGAAATATATAAATTAATCATAATGCATTTTGGGGGATCTTGTCCATTATGCAATTATTACATGCAAAACAATTTTGTATAATAAAATAGGAACATTGATCACTCCCTAAAACCACTTTGATCCATAAATGTCCACTGAATTCTAAATCATTCAAGAACGACATTGATCGATGGAATCCACATCGATTAAAATAATATATGAAAATTATTATGATAAGTACCTTGCCGATAAAAGCGGCGGAGCCACCTAGCTTTGCAATGGAACAAGCGACGTTAGCGGGAGCACCACCTGGGGCCTTAAGGAATCCCTGAGACTCAGCCAAAGAGACTCCAGCGACGTCGGGTACGAAATCGATCAACATCTCTCCAAAACACACAATAGTAGAAGAAGCTGCCATTTTCTCTCTCGAAATGTTCTCACTCGATGAAAGATGATAAATGTGTGTGACTGTGTGTGTTTATAGATATATATAACGAAAGATGTTGAGGAAGTGAGAGAAATTAGAATATAAATGTGGGTGAGATGGAGAAATCATGTTTGTTGATGGATTTTCGGAATAATTATTGAAACGTAATTTTGACTCTTTATTTCTGCTTTATTTTAATTATTTTGTTTATTTCAAATTTAAAGTAAGACGACCTTCTTATCTTTCCTTAGTTTGTTGAGAGAATACTGCAAAAAGGCCCATGTAATTTGTGATTTTCTATTATTTCAAGTCCATTTTTTTTTTTTCAATTGGCCCAACTTGGATCACTTTGTATCGCTTTGGTCCCTCAAAGTATTTTAGACGTTTAAAAATGCCCATTAAGTGTACAACATGCTTCTAAGGCAGGGGAAATTTTTAGGGATAATGACTTGAAAGAGTAACCAATCATACTCTTTATATATATTTGGTCACTTAATTTTTTTTGATGCACAGTAAACCCTTAAACTTGTTTATTTGTTTAAAACATACCATTACTACTTGTAATAGCATGTAAAACTTGTTTTTGGGGTTTTAGTTCCACCTTCGGTGCCTTTCAGCGGACGCAAAACTCCGGCGACATCTCTGGTCATCTTCTTCGGCAAATCCAAGCTCTGGAAAATTAATGGAAACCTTTTTCCCATTTCTCTTTTTGTTTCATGTCTCTACCACCAGAAACAGTGATAGAGCCCTAGCCTCATGTTCCTCTGAAACTCCAATTGAACCAAAGTAAAACACACACTTGATATCAGATGGAACGATCTATATAGAAATCATTGGTGAGAGACAACAATGCTAGGTGGTACTTATTCACGCTAAAAATCGGCTCCCTACCAGCGGAAACAATAACCTTTCACCCATGCCTTCCCTCTCCGCTCCCCTCGTCACCTTCACCATTGCTCCTCTAAACCCTCCGACCGATTCACTCATCGTTCTTTCCTCTGACACTGTTTCTAGTTCCACCAGACCATCAATGGCTGTCAGGTTAGTGTACCAGAGTCCAGAGCTATATATTAAGCTCTGACATGAAATGGATGTTGATAATCTGATGCGGTTAGTGATTTGAAAAGTTTTCCCTAATGTAATCTTGATCCCTCTTTTGTTAGGGTCTTGTTCCAACAGGTAAAACTCTTTTACTTGATTCAAGTTTGTGGTTTAGCCTTTAATAGCAATCATAACAGATAAAACGGAGGACAAAGAAGAGGCAGAAGGTGATTGTTTTCCAAGGTTGTCGATGAAGACGAAGAAGATGACCGGAGACAAGCTCTTGATAGCTACAAGACCGTAAAAAATCTTGCAAAGTAAGGAATGCTGGAGAAGATGACCGGAGATGTTGGTAGAACTCTTGGTGAGGCTGGATAAGATGATCGGAGATGTCGTCGGAGCTTGCTTTCGTCGAAAATATCATCGGAGGTGGAACTCAAACCCCCAAATCAGTTTTACCTACAATAGCAGGTAATAATGGTATGTTTTAAACAAATAAACAAGTTTAAGGGTTAGTAACACACCAAAAAAATTTAAGTGATCAAATATGCACAAAAGATATACTTGGTTACCTTTTCAAGTCATTATCCTTAAAACAAACTATGCCACCCTTTCAACATTTATGGACTTTTCAATGTGTTTATAACCGTGATTTGCTGGAAAGTCCACCAAGAATCCTACTAACCCTAGCGCAATAGATACAAATCAATAAACCACCCCATAAGATCATATTATTGTATACATCAAGAAAGAAAAATCATAATCATAATCACATTTACACGATGATGATTTCAACTTTAGCATCTGGCCATCATGGGGAAGAATAAATAGAAGCATACCACAAATAAGTTTTTGAAAAATGTCTAAAGTTCCTTTATGATAAAATGTCTAAAGTTCCATACTGACAAATGTAATCCAAAAAAATATTGACTTAATAAACAAAACAACAGACATAGTATTTTAAGCGAAAGTAGTTTGCTTAAGATAAAACAGTGGACACACATATTGGTGTTCCCTTTCACCAAAGGCTTTAAAATTTCCAAGCATTGTGTAACATCCTAGAATCTATAGCCAAAAATTTCATTTTTAGTTAAGTTATTATAAAACCAATAGTATAAAAAAACCCATAGTGTTAACTCATTTCATAATCAAAACCAATATTTCAAATAACTAAATCATGTCATAGAAAAGTATTATCAGAGTACAACTCCCAAAGATATCATAATGCGGAAATTATAGCGTGATGCACTGCGATCCTGTCGCCTCCGTTCCTTTTGAAAAAGAAGCACCTAAAACCAAAATTATAAACCGTAAGCACAAAGTTTAGTGAGTTCCCCCATCATACCACATACCATACAATCATATAATGCCTAGCATATCTGGGTGCTGGCCTACCCCTTCGGTATCTTTCAACCGGTAACTGCCTAGCATACCTGGGTGCTGGCCTACCCCTTCGCTCTCTTTCAACTGGTAACTGCCTAACATACTTGGGTGTTGGCCTACCCATTCGGCCTCTTTCAACCGATAACTG